TACTGTGGTATGCCATGTCCCAAAAATACATCAAGCCCCGTCAAACATCAACGACGGGCCCGCCTTTATCCTAGAACAAGAACCTGACCTAACATGTTTTTTTTTTTTAATGTATGTTCCTGCACTCGCCGCAATTGCTCAATATTCGCAATATCACCACATATCATCACAGTGACTCAGGAATCGGTTGCCACGGCACCCGCCGCCCATGTGACGTCCGTCCGACATCGTTTCTTGCTTCATTATCACTGCTGTTCGTGGATTCATGTAATTCGAGGCTTCTGACATTGCAAAACGACCCCGTTCTTATCGAACGGCCGGGTGGACAAAATGATTCTGATGCCACCTATGGGTCTGAGAGGTTTGGCACAGCATATTTTTTTTCTAGGAGCTTGGAGCTGAGGTTTATTAGCCTTGGGCTTTTGAAGATAAACACATAGTTATGACTAGGAAACATGGCCGGTCAAACTATGCGATGATTTGCAGTCAAGTTGCTGGTCCGTGGACTTGCTTGACCCTCTCAACGACAGGAGAATCCATGCTTTTATAAGAATGTTGACGTCGCCACAAAAAAAAAAAAACAAAACACACAAACGTGGACATGTTGTTCTTCAATGAAGAATTGTATGTAGTATTGTGTAGTATGCTTCAACTCAAAAGCCATGGTTTAAGCAGTCAAACATGCAGTAATGGGAAGTGCACCTCATGCACCTCGTAGACAGGTCAAGAGGAGAAGTCGGAGGCGCGTGTGTTTGCTGGGCCTGAAAGGGGAAGCCTCAAGGTCTGGGGATCTCCCAGAAGTGTTCCAGATAGTTGCATTGCAAGAAGGCATGCCATGGTAAACGGTGGTATGCAATGGTTATGGGTTTCCAACCATTGGGTGGAGAATCCTCGAAGCTCCCAGATGTGATTTTGTAGAATCCACAAAAGCAGAAGGGGCCCTTGGCATGCCTGCGAGTAGCAGCGCCGAACTTCTCAATCACTCAAAGCAGACCTGCCTGGTGTTGAACATTGCTGCCAATTTTCGGTGCGTTGCACCATGGCATACCAAGCGCCACACAACCCACACAAAGCTGTGGGTGGTTGGCAATCTCACGTAGTTGTGGACTGTTGTGATTCCGTTTGATGTTGGTTTGCATAAAACTTGTACATAATTGAGTGACTAGCTTTCAGAGGGGATGTCAAGTTCCCATGTATGTTTGATTCCCAAATAGACAGGTCAACCTGGAAGAGCAACTTACTCAACACCATGACCGCTGCTGGGGCAAAGTGATCAAGATACTTGCCTGAAAATCGGGCAACATTGCCTGAAAACTGAATAGACTGGAAGGTTGTGAAGTCGTGTCTTTTTCTGATTGTTGCGATGAAACTGGTCGTGGAACTCCTGAAGGCTACCCAAAATTGACTGATACATGCTTTTGCTTTTCACTCACTCTTTTCCAATGACTGCCCCCAAGAGTGGATGGAATGGGACCTGAACAACCTGAGCCATGTGCTGATTCTTTTCTTGCACATTGGTCGTAGGCTTTTTCCAAAGACAGGCTAGGCCTCGACTTCTGCTCTCCAAGATGATCGACTTGGACCGGATACATGGAAGTGATGTGTTCATGAATCTGGTGAATAGCCTTTTCAGTAAGGTACACTGATTGTGCGCTCGAACGCATACGCAGCCTCTGACTGATTATGCAGAAAAGATTGAATCAATCACTGCAGTACAATATGGTGTTCACAGCAAACGAAAGAACGTGACATCGTTTTTGGCGGCTGAATTGTCTGAGGAAGACTATTCTTGGACCCCGACAATGCATGGCCAAAGCTCAGCAAAACAAGTTTCTATGCATCTTGGTGTGGCTTTCATTCATCACGCATAGTATCAGCGTGCACATTCCTAAACCAAGGGCATCAATCTTGCAACCTATGAATGGCCGACTTTTGTAGAGTGTTTCATCCTAACGACCTGAGAATTGCTCATTTGTGCTGTTGACGGATACTAAGGATCCTAACACCCGCGTTGTAGGAGGAATCGATCACCACCTCACCAGGAACCATCATGCCGTCTCACGCTTCACGCTTCAAGTCAATTGGTCACCTGCCCATGCTTTAGGCTAAGGACTTGGGTCAATTTTCAGGGGAGGAGTTGTGAAGGAGGATGGGACTGTTGCATCGTAGACACTGCAGGTTTTTGTTGAACCAACCTGGCCCAGTGATCGTCCAGCGATAATTTCATCATGGTCATTGCAAAAGAAGAACAGGGACGTCACGCGCCCGGCTTTATGCTCGGACCGATTGAAATGAGAAAGAAAAGGAGCAAGTAGCAGCAGCCAAAGGGCGCCTTGAGGTGTATATGCGCGCACACACACAGTCACACACTACTGTACAATTCGATACATATATATATATATATATATCGCGTATATATATATATATACATGTTATATTTATAGTATAATCTTTACTGGTGCTAACTACCACTTTCATCCAGGCAGGTCAGCGTTGAAACGCAGTCATAGAACTGAAAGAGCTCACATGGCTTTGTTGAGCTAAAGCCTTAGCTGCTTAAAGACTTCACCTTCCAAGGCACTTGTCACCTTTGTGAGACGACCCGCCGGCTAAGGCAGAAAACATGAAAACAGCTTGGACACCACCCCGTGGTTCGGCCAGGCCGGGGTGAGTCGATTTCAGCGCCTTCGGCCGAAAACGCTCGAGCACATGGCCGACCTCGCCCCTCGGACGGTGAGGTCGTGCGCTTCGGCTGGGGACTGGTACGGCCGGACTTCCAACAGCACCAAATCTGCGTGGAGATGAACCCGGACAGTGCTGAAGCCCAAGAGCACCCAGATGCCAAGGCAAGGACTGGTTGATTGTGTAGGTATTGATGGGCGAAAGCATTTCAGGTAATTATGATATTTTGTTCAGATCATGATCACGTGATTTAGTGGCTTAGCGAGAATTTCTGCCAGAAATGCAACGCAGATTGCTGCGACGTCGATTCTTTCTAACAGCTTGAGTTTGAGTGTGTTTGCAACGAACTTTGAAGGGAGAAACACGTTTGGTAAACAAAGTGGTAAACAAGTAAGCCCAACTCCATTGCCACAGTCAGTTGCTGCAGCAGCCGAAACGACACGTAGCTTGCAAAGCTTCTTGAGGGTTGAGGTGTTTGGGCAGGACTGTACATTATGCATGTCAATGATGGGAAGATAGGTGGCGTTCGTCGAAGAAGGGGCCCAAACGGTGGTCGCTGTTTGATGGCCAAGATTTTTGTCAGCCAGAGAATGCCGCAAATGCAGCAGTTTGGTGATCGCACATGGTTGACCCCGTCTTGTTAAACAGTTATAGGTGCCAGATGTTGCTAGTCGTGTTTGATCGTTTTTCAATATTTGTGTTGCTCGTTTTCCACACACTTTGTGATTGATGTTTTGCCTCGAAGGTGCAGCAATGCGCTTAGGCTTACACAATTGACAGCACAAAGAACAACGATGTTGATGAACCTGAAAAAAAATACATGAGTCTAGATTAGACAACTGAGACACATGTGCAGATTTTTGACAGAATCACAAAGAAAAGGACAAACAAAAGGATGAAAGAGGCCAAGAACGCTGATCCGCTGCGCCTTCCCCGAGCTCCCGCCTTCGTCCACCTCGGGACGGACCGTTCCCGGACGCGTTCCCGGTCGTCCGCGTCCGTCGACCTCATCGGTCCAGGCCGGCGAAGGACGCCTTCCCCCACCGGTGGCCTTTCCACTCCGCCTGTATGGCCGCAGGGGAGCAGTGGATCGGGCCAGCCGCTACTTGCGAGGAGAGCAGCTCGGCAGAGTACTTGAGGGTTGTGAGGTTTGGAGTCTTTTGGTGGATGAAGGATGGTTAAGGATGGTGAAGGATAGTTAAGGATAGTTAAGGATGGTGAACGAGACTTGTAGACAGATATCATCAGACCACGTCAGACGGCCGCGAAATGCAAATCCACCCAGGTCTTACAGTGCAGTGAGATGACCAAGGCCCTGCGTGGGTGACAGGCAACAGATCCAGCTTTAGCCAAGCCAGGCCAGTGAATCAAGTCCTTTGGACCAGTCAGTCTTTAATGGTCAGTGTTCCAAACTACTGTAGTTGGCATGGAAATGGTATTGGACTGGTCATAATAATATTGGTCGTGAGGAAATATATTGCACACATGCACTAGGTCAATGACTTTGGTTTGCAGCAATCTATTTCAAAGGATTTTACAGTGGCGGGGCTGGTGAGTTGGACTTTGTCTCGACCAAAAGGAGACCTCAGACCTGCTGCGTGCGATATTGGAGCAGGGGTGGCGTTATAGCTGACCATCTGTTTTTGTCCCGGGGTGTTTCGTTTTTCAGTCAAAGTATCCAAGTTTGAACACTCGTTTGATCTCCACTGCCTGCAGACAAGCCCCTATTTGTTCAATCTGAAGTCAAGGGAAAGCCCCTTATATATATATATATATACATCTCCTGATGGGTGACTGAGGGCCAGAATGCTCTGCATTGTTTTGTCCTTGGCTACCCCTGTCGAGTTTGAGATCGGTAGACTCTGCCTGGTTTGTGTGGCTTATGGCAGTTGAAAGTTTGAAGGATTGTGTGAACAGTCAACACCGGATTAGGATTCTGGCAGAAGGGTCACAATATGCTGTAAGAATTCATCAACAACTTTGGGCTTTGGAATAATCAGCAGTGGGCTTGGCAACGCCAGTTCGGATCCTCTTTCATTTTTCAGCTGTTCTTGCGTGTTCGTGTATTTCTGCGGCAACAAGACCTAACTTGTGCTCCTAAACATCGGTGACGGAAGTGGCTTTGCTTCCTCCGGGGCTTGCTGCGCAGCATCTTCACCGGTGAATGAGACATCCACTATCAAATTCACATACAGATGTCCCACATAAAGGCCCTTGTTTTCAACACAGGCCCAACTGAAAGGCCCATTGAAGTCTAAACTTAGCGACCCTGGTTTTTGAGGCGTCTAGATCAACTAGCACAGCACATCCACATTCCTCTTTGGCCACTTTCAGCATCTTGAGCACTGTACATGGAGTGAAGGGGAGCACTTGCGGCGGTTTCGTGGTCAGCCTATGCCTATGCTATGCATGCCTTCGAAGATTGGTCGCCTCACGCTCATGGCAAAGAATTGTTTCCTCTTCCACTGCCGGTGGTGTGCCTTTGCACCGCATTGGGGTAACAATGAGATCCCTTGATCTCATCAGGCGCACACGTTGAGAGGTCAAAGGACCTTCAGCACCGCTGCACAGCTCAGGTCTAAACGAGCCTTCTGGATGAGGACGGCTCAGATCACCACCTTAGTACTCAGCTTTTGCACCGCACTGTCTGGCATCATATGTTGGCGGAAGTTCGCCGAGTTGGCGCAGAGCGGAATCCTTGAAGATTCTGTCCCTAGGACAGACACTCTTGTGCTGGGCCATGTGTACCAATGGGGTAAAGCATGGTAAGGCTTACTAGGTCCCGATGTTGGAGTGGATGGAAAGAGAAACCTCGTTGATGTCAGCATGAACAGCAAATTGTCATGAATATTCAAGATTTGTTTTAGGAGCAAATTCTCCATACCAATCAGGTTTGCTGCAGGAGTTGACGTTGATGGGTTTACCACAAGCGTAATTATTTGAGAGCACTTGCCACATGCGTGAATAAGTGTTGCGGTTCGCAAGGCACCTAGGATATCGTTGCATGTTTGGCCTTCTGTGATCTTGATGGGTACCACCACCCAAACCACAAGGCGATTGTTGCCTAACCAAACGGATGTATATATCCGATATCCCAAACCAACTAATGAATGCATGGTGTCTATATAACCTTCACTACTACAAACTAAAGCATGGTACAGATGCAAAACATTAGGTTCAAAGTAGTAGGAAGGCCATAGAAACCACTCTCGCGAAGGAGTATGCTTTTGGTTGCACATGCAATATGAGAATAGTCCCGTACCTGGCAGCAAACCGGATGGCTCAGTATTACTTAACTTCACTTCTTATGTTGATGTGCAGATCTATTGCAATTTTATACGTTGTGTCTGTTTGCATGCAGATCACGAACGAACAAAAGCCCGGTTACTGAACGAAACATGTACTTTCCACCGCTGCGAGTCTGCGAGTCTTCATGCACTGCCTGTAGCTGGGCTAGTCTGGCTAGAATCGCTTGAGTTGAACAAGAGGCCAGCATTGCTCCACCTAATTTTACGCAATGTAACGCCCAGCAGTTTGCGAGTTTACAAGTATGCACAATGTGCACGAGTACTGTACAATACATAGTTAATTATGGAAAGCGTTGTTTGTGAGTATATATATATAGTGTATTGAAACATGTGTAAACCCGCCACTTTGCATAGGCATAGGCGTAGGTGTCAATTTTTTTGGCGTATCGGATTCATTGCACTGTTACTTTTCCTATTATTAAGGTGCGGGAAACTCAGGGTATCGGGGTTTGATTCACAGCCAAGGGCATCCTTTTTGCAATCACATGTGAGGTCCACTTTGATGCTGAAAAGTTGAGAAATCTTAGTCACTTGGTTCTGGTGGCTGGACATGCAGTGACTTGTCGAAAGTTCAGCGTTGGCGATCTCAACCAGCACTTCAGTTGTCACCTTTTGTGCAAGAGTGTAGGACCCATGTTCATTCATGAATTTGAACGTATATGTTCTTTTTCTTGAAGCGAAGTGGATGCCATTTTTCTTTTCGACCACCGGTTCAATTCTGGGCGTTCCTACTCAGACAGACCGCTGCATCCATCGACAGACTCGCTGAGTGAAGTCGGCCGAAATGGCCCAGGTGGTCATGGCCGACTCGCTGGAGCATGTCTTGCATCGAGACTCTGATTGGTTTCTGGAACCCTATCAACTCCATCAAGATCTCCCGGAGGCAAAATACTATACGGCAAACATACAGATAAGATGAAGGCACTGTGGTCATTTGGACCAGGTGATGTTCAGACCTGGTTGTTTGATTTTGTTTGCACGTCTCAATTCTGGGAGCCTCACAGCATCTCACAGCCTCACACCCCATTGTTGCTCCACCACAGCGTAATGGCAACACCGGATTAATCAACGGCCCCCCCCTTCAAGGTCAACAAGGTCAACAAGGTTTGAGATTGGCGGTATATGGAGACCACATCCCCTTAATAAAGGTGATGACCTGATGGATGATGGTTGATATGATTCTGTGTGAACACTGAGGCCTGTGAGAGGCGTACCCTTTGTGAGCTAGAAAACATTAGAAAACGTTAAGAATTTGGTAGAGTTTTAATAAGGGAAAATGATAGAACTTTGCTAGAGAGGTTTTTAGGGACCAGAAGATATTGGATACTAGCCAAAAAGAAAGTACATAATAAATAATCATAAATTAAATACAATAGTATTTTTTTTCTGGGGCAGCTGGGATTGATTAATAGGGGGAGGTTTCTGCCTAGGAAAAAGTTATCAGGGTGATGCCAAGATGGAAATCTAGGTGTTAAATTAGTTTAGTATTGGGGGGGGGGTCGAGCTGGAATTGATTAATAGCGGGTGGGTACTTAATCCTGTGTGCGCATTGGGGTCCATTCTCCACGTCCAATCTTCCAGGGTAAAGGCGGAGCTCAACACGCAACACACGGATGGGTGAAGCGGCTTTTGAAAGGATTCGAAAGAGGTGAAAGGAGTCCCTTCTCACACATTCAACCGTCTCTTCACACCCGAAACCAAAATCCGTCACCGACCGCAGGCCTTGGTGAGTCACATCCACGCCGGCGTTCGACTCGCTGCCTTCGACCCCACTGCCTTGCTGATCTTCTCCGGTGGTCAAACACGCGCGGCCGCGGGGCCGCGAGACGAAGGCCGGCCCACCTGGGATTCCAGGATCCAAAAGGGTTGTTCTGGTCAATGACCTGTAGCTACTAGTAGCTCCTGGCATTGCTACTAGGAGCAAGGACGCTACTAATCTTCTTGAGTCTTTGAGTCGGACTTGGGCTTTTGCGGGTTACGAAGTGAATAATTCACTGCCTTGCTTTGTTTCGGCTGTGGAGCACCTCTGTTTCGGTGAATTAGGATGAACAGTCGGAGTTTTAGCCGGTCTTGTGTTATTGTCGATGCTCCTTTATCAAGACTAATTAGGGTGATGGGAAGGCTGAAACTGGGAGAGCAGATCTGACAAAATGCAATGCTCTTGGTGGGAGGAAGGGATCGGGAGAGGACCACCATTGTATGTGACTGGAGGCATCCACTTCGATGTCGCAGCTTTAAACGTCAGATTTAGTGCACCCCTTGTGAAAACTACAGAAGTGCTCTAACAAACCAATGACGCTGATCTTTCAGATAGGCCTTTGTTTGAGCCGAATGCTTTCTCGAGCCTGCAGGCTGGAGCTACTACCGCCTGGCCGAGCACTTCTCTTGGTGGGGCTTATCCAGCCAGGACGCTGCGAAAAGAGGCATGTGATTCTGAGCTAGTTTGGACGCGGCAACGCATTCCGTTCAGCCAGAGTAAAACATGTGTTCGCAAGAGCATGCAAGAGCTCAAAAAGTTGCACTCGCTCATGAACCAAACATCTAAGGGAACACTTTCTTGAGAAACTGACTTTGCCTTAGTCTGCTGGTGGAAAGTTGGCATAAGCTGGCCAGATATTGACGCCCATAGGCTCACATGCAGCTAGGCTCACATCTGGAGACCTCCCCCACCGCAACGGTCGCGACGTCAGGAGCAGTTTCCAGCTGATGCCACGGTCGCGCAGCGCACCGTGACGGAGGATTTCGCCCTGGACTCCTTCCAGAACTTGATGTTTTCCTTGTGCCGCTTCAAGGAGACCTTCCGCCGTTTGACTTGAAAGGAGACCCGCACCCAGAGCCCTTTCGGAGACGCATTTTCCGCATCAACGGTTCGCATCCGATGCAACACGGATGGTCCCTTACACCCGCGACACGACACCCAGGGCGACGGTCCGCCTCCAGTGACACCAACTGGATATCCGCCAGATCGCCGCTTTTCTTGGAGTGCATAGTGCATGGGCCAGAAGATCGCCTAGCTTGGGGAGGTGAACATGGTGCCTGAACAGCTGGAATAAACAGTGAAAAAGCAACAAAAAAGGACAAGAGCTTAGACAGCGCAAGGTGTTTTGGATTACGTGATCAGGATCGAGGGAGGGAGGTGAAAGCACCCCCAGGCAACCCTTCTTGTCAAGACATGGTACTGTAACACTTTGCATGTCTTTGCATGTTCTGTTCATGTGTGGTTTTGGTTTGTGAACTCGTGCAACTCCCGCACCGATTCCAAAGACGGGACCCTTGAATTTGAACACCTCGTCCACTCACTCGAAGTGCTTCGTCCACTTGACTCAGCTCGTTGAGCGAAGACGAGTCCATTTGCCTCCAGGAGGTGGTGGGCCACTATCCGGAGCGCATCACAGTGGTCTCCTTTGGTTTTAAAAAGCACCGCTTTGGAGATCTTCATCGAAAGGCTTTGCGCTTCCCCAGCTCCAGGTGCACCGGAAAAAAAAGCAAAACGCAGACTGAGTGTGTCAGGAGCGGCCAAGAGGGGTGGGAAGACAGCAAACACAGGATGTGAAGAAAGGCCATGATGTTTGGGCTGCCCCCCTCGGCTGAGTTTTGGATCCATGAGATCTATTGACATGCAAAATTATATCAATGACACATATATACATAATGTATACGCATTTAAACAACACAAGGACTGTTGCGGGTTGCGGATTTTGGCCCTCTTCGTTGACTTGCGTACTGTAACTCTTTTCAAGTGTAATTTGCAACCCGCAACCAATCTTGTCTGCAATGCTCCTTGTTGAAGACATTAAACAGAACCACAAAAAACAAACATCTCTAGACTAGTCCAATCCCAAGAAACAAAAAAACAAAAGAACTAAGATTTCAGAACTATGTTGAAGATTAGACTAGTATGGAAATCTTTGTTTTCAGTTTTTTTTCTTGGCTTTGTCATCCAGGATTAATCCAGATTAATCTGAAGTAATCTTCCTCAATGAACCCTACATGTCTGCTCCACACTCCAACCTTCATTTGCTGCTCATCTGCAGGATTTGGCTTGTAGCTCCTGTTTGCTTTCCTTGTTTGCTTTCCTTGCTGTCTGTTTTTTCATTTCTCTTATCTTCCTGCTGACCTCTCTACAAGTGTTATTGGTAAAGGTTATGTTGTTTTCACCTATCTCACCTCCATCACTACATTCAAAATGCTTCTTAATCAAATCTATTATAGCTACTTTCTGATTAAAAATCATATCCTTAATATCATATAGCTTCTTTCTATCCTCATCAGTCTTGAGCTTCTAATATTCATACAGCATAATGTTATTCTTCAACATCAAGTCTATACAGCGATTAGCATAGGCCTCAAACTCAAATACATAACTTACACTCTCAGGATTTTTCAACTGCCTTGTATCACCAGTGGCTACTACAATCTTGTCAGGATTGTTCAAACAAAAAAAAGTCCCAAACACAATGCTTGTTCATAATGCTTATTCATAATGCACCAATACCATTGCCAAACTTAAAAGACTCGTTGCCTTCCCTAGGTTACATTTATCAATCACAAATGCATCAGTCTTTACTGAATACACCTGTATATCATTCTGCTTCAGTTTCTCATGGTTATGATTTTGCAAAATCATCTCTTTGATAAACCTATATCCATACTTTAAGAGTTTTGGTGTTACTTATGCTTAAAACATAATGCTTATTCACATTCAACATGTTAGGAAAAAAAATCATTTTGCTCCTCACCTATCTCAATTTCATTGCCCTGTTCATCTCTCTCAATTAAGCAATCATCATCACTAGTCATAATTCTCTCCTCACCCCCCCTTCACATATTCAGTGATTATACTTTTGTCACCACCATATATAGTTTTGATAGTAAAAGGCATCAACCATATTGGAAAAAGGCTATTGACCTTTTTGCTACATTAGTTTTTTTTTCTTTCCCCGTAGTCCAATGTTGATACAAGAAACCATCTTGTTTTTCCTATTTTGTCTCTTCATGCTCATCCAGTTTTAAACTATACACATCATCAATCAGCTTTTTGAAGTTGACCTTGTATGTATGGATGGCACTTTGAAATAAATGATTTCAACAACATCAGCATATTCCTTCATAAATCAAGTTATAGGTTCTGTTGAGAAATATGTTCCTAACCTTGCTCTTCACTAAATACAATCTTAAAGAGTTCATCTTGTTGAAATCATATATTTGATAATCATACTTCTTCCAAATATCAACCTCAGAAAACACCGGTATCCTGACAGTGTCAATTGTGCCTTGTGTGTATGCCTTGTTCATATCTATTTCAATGTGTTTATTTAAACCTTACCTATGGATTCAACATATCCACTTGCCTATCATCTTTGTGATGGTAGGACTTGTGATTAGGATTGGCCAGGAGCCCCTAGTAGCGCCATAGCACGCCGGCTGACGCGATTGCAGGTTCTCCTTTGTGGGCATTCAGCCACCGCCCAAGTCTCGCTTTGACCTGGCACGAGCGGAGCAAGGGGAGCTGCAGCGGCTCGGATTGGGTTTGGAACCGAAAGAGCTTGGCTTGCTTAGCTTGGCTTGCTAAAGATATTTGTTAACATCTTGGGAGAGAAGGGCAGACGTAAGACTCTGTAGACTGATTCAACACTTACCAAGACACTTCCCTTTTTTCCAACAAACATGAGTGACACATGTTGTGTTTTTTTGAGGAACAGAGCCGCCGGACGGGTTCACTTTTCAATTCGGATAGAGGGTAATTGTCATTGTTCATGTTCACTTCGGATCATCCCCTTGCGTTACCCAAATTCCCGGGCCAGGCAGGGCAAAACCTTAACCACTGCAGCTCTCTCAATTCTGAAGGTGCTCAAGGGTAGGTGTTCATTGGCTGTTAGAGAAAAATAGATCGAACAACTGTGCAAAGCAATTTGTAGAAGTGTCTGACAACGGTCGCGGTCACAGGAGACCAACCTGCAAAAGACGGTGAACTCACACGGCTGGGATAAACACGTTGCAGGCGGATCACGGGCACCAACGGTGCAGGCTCCATGGACAATTACATGTGTATGGCCCAAACCTAGGACTCAAGGAGGTACCAGTTGCATCCAGTTGCCACCCTTCTCACTGATTGAGAGCCACTGCGAGCCCGGAAGACTCGTGGAACGGGTCACTCCAAGGAACTCCGTCTCCCTTTTCGAGGCTGATCCTTATGGCTGCCGCTCTCAGGCCGAAAGAAAACGCTCACCATCTGGGACGGACGAACGGACGATGCGACATGGGTTTGGCACGTAGGCCATCCAAGCTGTATACATGTGTCGTATTTGTGTAGAGTGGCAAAAGCACTGTAGCATGAGTCCAAAAGATTCTTGAGCCATACTATTCATTAATTGTTTTTGGTATTTTAGACAACTGTGTGACATCACAATGGCCTCACAACTGCACCTTTTTTCCATCCTTTTCCACTTCAATTGGCCAAGGTTGGCCATTGAACCATCGAGAAGCCTTTGTTTGGAATGAACATCTCACGATCTGGCCGGGGTCGTACCGTCGATTTCACCCATCGCTTCAAAAATGATGATGGTGCTTGAGAGTTCGTCAAAGCCAAAGCAAGGAGTGCTACCTCGATGGTACTCCTTGGACTCCTTGGCAGGTGCTTGTGCAAAAGCGGAAAGATCGAAATCCATTTCAGCGAACCAACCCTTACTTGCTTTCCTGCCCCTTGGATGAAAAGAGCTGAAATGAGGTGCCAAAATCGGAAGGCAATCCTTTGAGCAATTTTAGATCATTTTGGAGCGTATTGGGCAAAAGGTGTCTTTTGCTTCTTCGGGGGGCCAATGCATGCAGATCAAGTAGCATCAGATTGTATGCAGCTTTCTCTTCAATCACATGCATTCAAGAAGGTTTTGCGGAATTGGGAGAAGGAGAAGGACATTGTGACATTGTGCGCATGCCAAGGAGGTTGTGAGCTTCTGTCCCTTTTTGCAGATCCTGAAACCATCTGAAACCACACCTTGGAATCTCATGATTGATGTAGCTGCTGCTTAATAGATGTTCAATCAGAGCGACCCCGCTGAATTTTCAGGCTGTGCCTGAGACATACTTTGTTTGGTTGAAACTCAAAGGAACATTCTGTTCGGAGATATACTGTATATAAATATACACATATATAGATAACACACAACAGATTCTTTTATGTGGTACCTCTTAAAGGGTTGCTTGACTCAGGCAATTCCAGGTTCTTCACACAGCGCCCTAGGCCCGGAGATCAAGCAGCTCCTCCAATGGTGTGGCCCTGACATCTTCCCTGGTCCCTTACCATGGAGCCGACGTTTCACCACTGAGGAATAAGATTCCATGCCAGACGGTTGCCCAGCAACATGCGCAGTGGCTCTGTTGACAAGGGGCCACATGTTGCCGTGTTGTTTCTTTTTTTTTTATGTAGTCCGCAGGTATTGTGCCCAGCTCGTGGAAAGAAGATCTTCCCAAAAGAGCTGGGAATTTCTTGGGAGTTTGACGGAGTTCAAAGAATGAGGTATCCAAAGATAGTTTGTTCTTTTTGTTCTGCGGATCACGTCACTTTCAACACCCCATGCTTGGATCAGTGCCTCATTTTTAGTAGACTCTCCATTTCATAGATGAACCAAATCCTGTATAATTACTGTGAGAAACAACGCCTTCTCATGGATTGTGAGTAGTGTGAGTGTGAGCAGTGCAGGCTTGGATCATTCCCATCTAGAGCAGGCGACCTCATTGGTCGCCCTGCGAGTGAACAGCAGCTTGGCGCCGAGCGACCCAGCGGAGGGGCTGTTGTCGAAAGAAGTGCATCGGCCACAGAGTGTCTGCAGGGTTATGCAGGGCTACAGAATTCGTGAGTAGCCAGGCAGCACCCTAAAGTTCCCAGTCTTATTAAATTGTTACAGGGAAGGGAGCATTTAGATTTGCAAGGCAAGGTTCATGTTCGATGTTTCTCTTCAAGATTCTTCAAGGCTTTCCGACTTCAACCCCTCGGTCCACGACGAGCCATGGCGATGCCCGCCACAGACTTCACCCAAGGGCCTTTCCCCTTGTGAAACATCCAATCAATCCAATGATGTGCAGCGGACAACGCCCTTTCGACCTGAGTGGCGGCCGACTCATAGAGGCCAATGTTTCTCATGTAAGGCAGGTTTACGATGCACCAGGTTTTCGTCGTCAAGTGGAACCCTCGATGTTCGGATGGGACACCGAAACGACCGCCATCTCATTGCGGGTGGAGTTCGTGGTCGGCCCAAACCCTTTGAGCCGCCGGAGCTGGGCCTTTTCCAAGAGGCAAGGGGGGGGTGTTGGGTGTGGCAGATATCTGCAAGACATGGTGAACAACCAGATAATCCCCTCCATCGCCGCTTTGCCTTTGATCCTCTGGGCCAAACAATACTGTAGCATGAAAGCATCCAGAAGTCAGCTCACAACCCTAACCTGCCAATGAGTTGACAGCTCTTTTTCACCTAGTTCTGAGACGCACCACAGGTGCGTCTCTCCGCAGAAATGAAAACGGTTGGCATGGCCAGGAGATGCAATTCCAGCAGCCCTATGGCATGGAGACTCAGGCTGTGTACCGTCTTGCACCACCTTGCAAGGCACACGCACAACACAGGTTTGATCAGGGAGAATTTCTTACCTCGGCTAGTGCAGGACTTCTTCCACCCAACAGTAGGGATACCCAGTGTGAATAGCAGAGGGTGCCAGGTGGTGACACACAGGTCTCCCTGCCAGCCATGGATGCTTTTAGCCAGGTGTCAAAGTCTCCATCGGGTATTTGGGAGGAGATCAGTTACAGCCTGGTCGATCAAAGGCGATAAACACCCTAGTAGCGATGGCCTCCACCCTAGGAGCGATGGCCTCTACCCTAGGAGCGATGGCCTTCAACCTACTAGCTTCCGGTTTCTCCCGCCTAAAAATCCTAAAGCTCCTCGAAACATCCTCCCATACTGGTGCTTCGACCAGCACCAGTCCATGTCCGAGGCTCGGTGCCCGGAAGCTTCCCACCTCCCAGGGTGCGATCGTCCCGACGTGGCGAAAGTGGATGAACCACTCGACCCGATGGATAGACATCGTTAACGCTGAATGGTCGAGGTTGGGCAAACTCCGTCGTGATTTGTGGAATTTTCCTACTGGCCCCCCCAGGATTCCCTCTCCTCAAACAGTCAGATAAGCGCGGGTTGCATCATGGACGTGACACACTTCTTTTGGCCCATAGCTCGCACTGTGTTGTGCAGTTTTAATGTTGCACTGTGTTTGCGATATGAGTGATTTTGAATTTTGCAAGTATTGGCCTGGCTTTCATCTGCTTGTCAAAGCCAGGACTTCTTGCTGCTTTGATTCTAGAAGTACAGATCAAGGAAGCCTAACATGCTGGCAGCCAGTGTAGGAGGACGTGAATAGTATGGAACTAACCCCAGCAGATTGGCAGGGATATTGACACTCCAAATGTCTCAATCTTTGGACGTTGGGCTATATATACTATGAAACTTGGACAGAACTGAACTGGGAAAAAAATAGAACCTCTTTTTTCTATCCTTTTTTCCGTCGTAGAGGCCATCGCTTCTAGGTTGGAGGTTATCGCTTCTAGGTTTTATGTCTCTGCGCGAGTCCCAGGGCACCTTCGCGGCCATGCAGCAGGGATACCTGGGCCAATTGGGCCGTCAGCCTGAACCGCCCAACGAAGGACACCGGTCGACCCAGACGTAAGCGGCGGTTTGAAATTGGGGCATTGAGGCGGGTCAAACACGGCAGGCGTATCCTAGTATCATTGGGTTCTGTAGCTGCAAGGAAGACATTCGAAACCACTTGATTCACTACAGTGTGGTGACAGTTCCTTCCCTCCTCATTGAGTGGCCTGTTTGTGCAGAGGACAAAGTGCCCGCACCTATGGCGGAGGTGCCCGCAGCTGTGAGGGAGCAGCCTTCCCTGAGTGTCCATGTGGCCAAGTGGTAATTCAAGTGAAAACCGGTGAAAGCACTCCCACATCATGGATAATGATGCACGACACATTCCGCAGGATTCCACTGGATATACATAGCGGCGTGGGGTTTAGCATGGGCTGAAAGCTGTTCACTGGCTAGAGTATTGCGCCAATATTTGTGGATACTTTGTTGTTGTGTTCAAGCGGCGAAAAGCTTTTGAGACATGATGCACCCATCCTGTTGCCAGGCAATGGAACTGGAACATTTCCAGTCCAAACTGGCCATCCTACCTTGATGAGCAGGCAGGGGGGCCTTGCAGTAGCAAGACAGGGTGTGGCCATGCATGATGAATCAACACTGATCTACTGCAATTATTCACATCAGTGCCAGGCCAGGTGCGATTGGGAAGATGCTTTGTGGGTGTTCCAAATTCATGTATTCAACAAACTATATATTGGTGTCCTGTTTTGCCTTCAGTGTGGGTTGTATGTATACGATTGTTTGCCTTTTTAGATCATTCTTTCTTCATACTGTATAATACCTTGTTGCGGTTGTTGCGACATTTTTTCCCGAAAGCATTGCGAAGGGTTCTTCCGGAAAATCCCTTGAACACTGACACTTCGACACTTACACTTACACACTGACACTTCCACCACATTTGCACTACATACACTGACACTTCGACACTTACAGTTACACACTGACACTTCCACCACAGTGTAAGGGGAAGAGCGAAAGCATCCAAGTGCAAAGTATGCAAGTGTCAAAGTATGCAAGTGTAAGTATGCAAGTGATGGGTATGCAAGCACGCAGTGTAAGTATGCAAGTGATGGGTATGCAAGCATGCAATGAGTATGCAAGCATGCAATGAGTAGGCAAGTGTGAGTATGGAAAACTAGCACGGGAGATGTCCTAATGAAAAAACATTTCCCCACTTTATAAATTCTCTCTTAAAGGCGGAGGGTGGGACGAACAGCGTCAACCGAAAGTGCAACCCTCTGCGGAGATCGTGCACGTCGAGTGCGCGAAATGCAGGCGAGAGTGCGATTCGCCGGGTGCCCGCGCAATCCTCTGCGGAGATCGTGCGTGTCGAGTGCGCGAAATGCAGGCGAGAGCGCGATTCGCCGGGTGCCCGCGCAACCCTCTGCGGAGATCGTGCGTGTCGAGTGCGCGAAATGCAGGCGAGAGTGCGATTTGTGAAATTACCGCGCGACCCTCTGCGGAGATCGTGCGTGTCGAGTGCGCGAAATGCAGGCGAGAGTGCGATTCGTTTAGCAGCGGAGCATACTACTTGGTGGTTCGTTTTTACTTGTGGCACTTGCAACTTAGTTAAGACACTTATAGGACTTAAGCAACTTGTAAGTAGTACTTAGGGAACTTAGGTTTTACTAGTTTTTTAATTATAACCGTAAGTTGTATAAATTACTTGTAACTAACTTATAAGTTCTGTAAGTTCCTGGACGACCAAAAGTATAGTCTCAGACAAGATTAAAAAATAGAAAAACTAAATTTTCGTCTTGAGATGGGCAGGCAGCTGTGAGAAAAACTAAGTGTTCGTTTGCAGATCCACGTGCCTTCGTGTCAGACCGCATGAAGCGCAGCCATAGCAAACACTCCCTCAACACCTCAAGCTGGAAGTCTGCATCTTTCTCAAACCAAGGCATGACAACCATGATGTTGGCCACGCTCATCCGAACATGTTCTGCGCACAGGCTGGTCATGTCTACCAAAACTGCTCTTGTTCTTTGAACTTCAATGGCAACTGATGTTCAATGATTGTTTCTTCAGCTTGATTCAGCTCAACCCTTTGAAAAATATACAGGGGTTACATATAGGTTGGCTGGTGGTCAATTGATGGGCTAGATCTAGGTTGGCTGGCGGCCCATTGGGCCGCCCAGATGTGTTGGTCAATTGATGGGCCATCTAGGTTGGCTGGCGGCCCATTGGGCCGCCCAGATGTGTTGGCTGGCGGCCCCAGTGGAAAAATACCATATACTCTGGACCTTATGCAAAGGGTCCTGTACCAAAAGTACTAGTCCTTGAAAAGCAATGCATCAAACATAAACCTTGATTCATTTGCCATTGAACCATTCAAAACAGAACTACCATAGCTTCACCTGATATATCTAAATATTCGGGTTGCTGACCAACAACTTTCACACACATAAAATTTGACTAGCCGATTGTTTTCACATATCACGGAATCACAAATGTATAAAAATGTATAAAAATGTATAAAAATGTATAAATCAAAGCGGACCTAAATTTATACATGTATAAATCAAAAAAATATCAATTTATACATGTATAAATCACCCCATTTTCAATTTATACATGTATAAATTGATAACGAAATCGATTTATACATGTATAAAAAATGTAAAAATGTATAAATTCAATTTCTGAATTTTAAGCATTTTGCTTGTCATGCGATGAGCTTTTATCAAATAGAATTCATTTCTCAGAGTTGCCAACCCCACCACCTCATGAGTTTAGACATTTCCTGACTCCCTGATTTTTAAAAAATCCAGGAGTCAGGATTTAAGTTTTGCTGATTGAGAGCTTTGCTGATTGAGTGCAACAATGCTTTTTGTTTGCTGGCGTTTGCTGGCTCCAAGTGTGCGCTGCTCATGCGACGCGTCCTCAGCTGCCGGTACTGCTGAAGATGGAGCCTGTGCAGCCTAGGAGGATGACGTATGCGGAGCAGCTGGAGGCAATGCGGCCACCTTGCGGGTTTTGCATCCTGGCGGACGGGACCATCCTGCTGTCCAATCGGCCGGAGACCTACACGGCGGAGATGGTGGTTGATGCCTATGAGGCATGGCGAAAGATAAAGGCAAATGGCTTAGTGCGTGAGACCCGACCTGCGGCTCAATGAGTCTATTATTGAAACAAGAGCGACATCCATCATCTGCTCAAGATGGCACGCGGTTCAATGTATATTTTTTTGCAAGAGACACAACCTGCGGCTCAATGAGCCGCATGTTTTTTTTATACAGGAGCAACATCCATCATGAGTCAGCCATGACCATGACAAGACGGCATACGGCTCAGTGAGCTGCGTGATGAACATGCGATCGGAGCATGAACTCGATTTCAAGTTTAAGAATCAAAGTGCGAAATAACACGATTTGATCAGTTTTGGTGTAAATTAGAAAAACTTGAAATTTTATATCTCAAAAAAGTTAAGTTCCCTAAGTTAGTTATAACTTATTTTTGACTAGTTTTTGATAATCTAGATATAGAACTTAGAAATTTCTAACTTTTGCTAACTAACTTGCAAGTGCCACATCTTAACATAAAAACTTGTGCTAGTTACAGAACTTGTAATCCCTTCGTAACTAAGTTACCAACCACTTACAAGATACTTACAAGTTCCCTAGCCAAAAATGAACCACCAAGTAGCTTCACCACAGACACGTTTTACGCAGCGCCCATGTCCACCATCCTGGGAACCCAGGCAGTTTAATCAGTTTGCGTTTGCGCGGGTCTTGGGGAGCATTTGGCCCGCAAGTGGCACTGCAATTCGCTCGCGCTCCCTAAGCTGCGCTTGCTTTTGTACTGGTGCTCGTGGTTGATTGGGGTGGGAGGAACGCAAAACCTCTCTCCCACCCTAACAAACTAGATATAGCCTTGTTTAGTTAGAACAGCTTGCTGGTTGGTAGGAGCTGGCTGCTCCCAGATTCTTCAGGCTCTGTGCCTGCGCCGCAATCTTTTTGGGAGATGATTGGGGCTCAAACGTGTTTAAGGTGCTGAAAAATGATTGCCAGACAGCGTTCTAGCTTTCATCTGACAAAAAAGGTATTCTTTGTAGCTTCTGTGGCTCTTTAAACTGTAAGGATTGTTCTCTTATATATATGTAGTATAGAGTCATTGCAACGCAGCGCTTGCTTGCGCCAGACAGGTGCTGTTAGTTCCATGATTTTTGCGTTGATTTGTAGAAGCTTTGCTTGGTTTGGTCTACAACTGT